CCCTAATCTGCTTTTAGGTCCAGATGTTGAACTTATTCTCCCGTGTTTTTGGGATGTTAAATCTATTTTGTAGGTTGAAGATTTCTGTTTCCCATCATATACGATATAATAACTTATTCTTTGCAATAAAAAGGGAAAATGAATTCTCTTGTTAAGACCCTATGAATCAATTAAAACCTCATATTCATACTAGAACTATGATGATTGAATAAAATTCTAAACTAAGCCCAAGAATTCCATGAATAAGAACCTTTGGATCATCACATCACTTGTTCCATGAGTGTATATATATATATATAACAACTGAAAATCCAAAGAAACACAAAAACAACTTATCATATTGTGGAAAGTAAAAAGTGCATGGTCAATTTTGGTACAGAGAATTAAATTTTTTGTTATAGAGTTAAGTTGATTTATGAATATTTTTCATCATCTGTTTTCACATGACAAGTGCATGGTCACTTTGGTCTCTCATTGTCCTTATTTTATTGGTTTGGTCATCATGTATTTAGTTCTCAATCTCATCAAGCAATTAAAATTTGAGCTCTGGTATATGGATTTATCGGATCCATTCAGTTTGGTGTGTTGAAGACATCAATCTGTATTATGTTCTTTCAGACTAATGGCGATTTAAAAAAGGAAAGGCGACAATTTCTCACTCAGTTCTTCTCACCCATCTTTCTAAAGGTTATGATTTCTATCAATTGTTTTCTTCAGCAAGGCTAACATGCAGCTACTAGTTATTTGATCTATGTATCATGACCATGGTTATTAGAATCTTACGATTCATAATTCTATTCATACAATTTGATATGACTTTTAAGAAAAATGATTCGACTCATACAGTTGAATTGAATCTTAAATTAAGTGAATCTTACAATTCAATTGCAATTCATTGCTACTCAATTCTGTTTGTAAAATGCATGGAACAACATCTTTTTCACCAAAAAAAGAGATCAACTAAGTATACTACTATACGTGATTTTATATGTATATATATATTTTTTGATAAATATATGTATATACATATATATAATTTAGTTATATTGATATTTATTTCATTTTAAACACTACATGCGTAGTTTTATATGTATATACATATGTAAAGTTATATATTATACGAAATAAAGTGAATCTTAAGATTCATGATTTATTATTTTAGCAAAGCGATTCACGATTCACAATTTACAATTTGACAACAATGATCATGACCATTTTACAGGCATTTTCCATTACTTTCTTTGGTGAATGGGGTGACAAAAGTCAGGTAACCATGAGAACATTTATGTGTATATTTCACATGTAACTACCACTATTGGTTGCTATTTTACACTGTGTATATACCTTTTCAAATAGCTACCATCGGCTTGGCCGCAGATGAGAACCCACTTGGTGTTGTCCTTGGTGGAATTTTGTAAGTCTACAATTCTCTCCGCTTATATATGAGTTGTTTTGGTTCTTAGGTATTTTTTTTTTTTTTTGATAAAATTTCTTTTTCCTTGTGACGAAATTTGTCGTATAAAGGCAAAAAAAAAAAAAAAAAAAACAAAGAACACTGCGAATTTGAAAACACACACTCTCTCGTGCACAGTTGTAGACCAGCTACAGCCATCACCGCACTAGCCCATATGCACAGATACACATCTACCCTCGTGCTCGCATAGGTTGGTGATTAATGATGCCAGTATATTGGACCCTTTGGATCTTTCATGAATTGATGATTGTTACTTAAAAGATTGACAGGACCTTTACAGCCACAAATTTCTTGGTTGCATGAAACCCTAAAACTGGGGGTAAACATATGTTAGCACCCTCTTTTTTTCACCTGAGCGAAAATCATACTTAGGTTTTCAATTTCACCTAGAATGTGTGACCTCTCCTTGCACTAGTTCTCACTTAACAATGTCTCTCACTAATTTTGTTTACATTACAATATTGAGAAAATATTTGTGATACTCTTTAGAGTTAAGGTAATAAAACGACATTTAATTTTTATTATGTTGGACTGATTATGTTTTGCCTTTAACAGAGGACAAGCATTTTGCACTACTGCTGCTGTCTTGGGAGGAAAGAGCTTGGCATCTCAGATATCTGAGAAAATTGTAATTAAAAAATTTTCTTTTTTGTTGTATCACATTCGATGTCCTTTTTGTTAAATTAGCTGTAACCATGTAGTCTTGATTCTGATGTAGGTTGCACTCCTAGGTTGCACTTTCTCTACTCTTTAGAATTTGATAAGATAGTATTGTCTTGAATCATGTAATTTGAGAAGTGATAGAATGGTGTTTTTGAATAGTTGGATTTCAGTTGGAGTTGATCTTTGCTTATCAAAAAGACAAAAAACGTGATCGACAGACACTAGATTTGAAAAATTAAATCTCATAGAAACAGCACAATTTCAACAACCAAAAAAAATTAAAAATGAAGCTATAATGACGTTTTCAAATGCCACTATAGTATAGTGCTAATGGTTATATTTTTAAAATAGAAAAGAGCTATAACTGCGTTTTTAAAACGTCGCTAAATACGTGTGCCGTCATTGTAGTGTTATGCAGCACATTTAGCGGTGTTTCAAAAAACGCCACCTATACTTATATAGCAACGTTTTTAAAGCTCCATAAAGCTATAGCGATGGCCGCATCTTCGGCGTTTGGTGCTAAACATCACAAAAAGAATTAACGGCGTTTTTGATAGCTATAGCGGTGTTTTTTATTTAAAAGTCTAATTTCCAGTAGTGAGTCAATCACATACCATTCACATATGTACATTTTTGTTTCATTACAGTAAAGTGTATATATATATATATTTTATTTCTTTATGTGATTTAATTTTATGTATATAAATTTGATTTAAAGAAGAGGAAGAAAAAAATAAAAAAGTGAGGAAAACATTGGCCAATTTTATTCTCTTTTTCTTTATCTGTTTTTTTCTTAAACAAAGGTGAAAAAGAGAGAATTCTGTTACAATATAATAAAAAAAAATAATCTTATATTATTGGAAAAATCGGTCTAGGGTCCCTCTCACACTTTTCGTAATGGAAAAGATCCACAAAATTATTTTTTGATGTCTGAGGTCCCTAAACATTTCTCTACCTGAAACAACCTCTCGACCTCGATCTGAAGCAGCTTCTGGACCTCACCTCTTTTCACCAAATTCGTCTCCATCACCAAATGCCTCTCTCTCGGCATCTTCTCCGTCTTCTCTCTGTCCAATCTCAGGCGTTCGATCTTCTGGCAGATCGCACTCAGCTCCTCCGCTAGGGACACATCGATCGACTCGATCTTTGCCGGAGCGGCGTTGACCAGATGAGGATTCTCCTTGTTCGAATCGTTTATCGGTGAGATCATGCTGAAGCTATTCCAAAGTCGCCGTTGCCACACCCTCTTCTACGACCTCTTCCTCAACACCTTCTCCTCCGACTCCTCCCTCCGATTTGCCACCGCCGTAGACTTCTGCGCTGCCCAGATCCGTGACCCGAAAGTTCTTCATCAGATTCTTCAACTTCTTCACTGGATTCAACAGCAGGATTTTCTTTTTGTTTAACAAATAAATCAGAAATAGAAGTAGGCACATCAACATTTTCTAAAATTCTCATTGCCTTCAATGTGGTTTGTGTATGCCATAGTTCTGGCAAGTATATACCAGCACGTGAGGCAATTATGTAACCACAACTTGCAAATAAACTTCTGCTATGATCTACACAAACCACACCCAATAAACTTCTACTTTGCAAACCTGTCAGAAATTCTCTGTGAACTGTGAAGTCCAGAGAAAATTGGACCAGAGAAAATCTCTGTAAACTAGAATTTCTCTGTGAAGTCCATTAAGCCTTCCAGGTTCCAAATTGTGAATTGAATTTTTTTTTCATTTGAAGTTGAAACCAGAGAAATTCTCTCGTTTTTTAACTGAATTTTCTCCGAGTTGAAACCAGAGAAATTCTCTAGTTTTTTAACTAAATTTTCTCTGGGTTGGTCCAGAGAAATTCTTCCCTGAATTTTCTCTGGACCAATTTTTTCTGGGACTAAAATTTCTCTGGACCAAGTTTAAACATGAGTAATTGCAACATTCATTCTATATTTTGAAGGGCATGGTAATAAAGTTCCTATATCGAAGCTTATTCTCTCTGGAGCAACATATGCAGATGTGTCTGAAGCCTTTCTATATGTTGAAACCAGTTCCCTATCCTTCTTGGACATGTCCAACTCTTCACTTGGCAGATTTTGCTTTTTGTCTCACATGAAGGCACTGGAACATTTGGATCTCAGCTCTAGTTTGATTGACGATAATTTTGTGTATGCTCAGTTTTCAAATACCCTTACATTGGATGTGAGTTTACTGTTAATGATCGTTTATTTTCCCTTCCTTCCTTAAATCAGAGAAATTCTGAGAATAATTGGACCAGAGAAATTCTGAATCTAGACTTTCCAGAGGACTGAAATTTCTCTAGATCAAGGTTGAGGGACCTTAGACATTATGAAAATATTGAATGTCCTTTATGCTATACAACCTTAATATCAGAGACCTTAAAAAAAAAACCCATATATTATTCTTATGCTAATTTAGCTAATTTATTTAGCATTACAAATGGACAATCTAGATCATTTATTATTGGTGACGATCACGTATCATAATTTTTGACATGTTATATATTTAGAAAAAAAAAATGTTTTTTTTTTTTTATTTTAAGATTTGATTTAGAAAAATGAATCACTAAATTTATGGATTATAATGAACATTCTACTAATTTTAAATTTACATTTATCTCTCACTTTGAAAATAAAATTTAAAAATAATTTTTCATACTACATACTACCATTTTTAATTTTGTTAATGAAATCAACAAAACCAAAATATTCAAACTTTCCTAAATCAAAACCGGTGATGAGATGAGTACGGTTGACCAAGCTTATATAAGGCCTCACACTAGGGCACTGATTCTTCTTAACCATTCATTTACCGTCTTCCCCCTCTCTCTCTCTCTCTCTCTCTCTCTCTCTCTCTCTCTCTCTCTCTGTGGTGGTTTGAGTCATGGGTTTGGCCAAGAAGAAAGTAGTGGTTATGTTGATGATGATGATAATGATGATCAAGGATGTTTGTGGTGGTGGTGTTTTGTATAAGGTTGGGGACTCTTCTGGTTGGACCAACAATGTCTTCTTCTAAGAACTTCCTTGTTGGCGACACCATCGGTACGCTTCTCTTCTTCTTCTTCTTCTGTTATGTACTCCACATATCAATGCATTCTTTACTTATACTGTTCAACATATTACATATTACTCTTATTATGCTATTTGAGAAATTTTCCTTTTTAATCATATCCTTCTTGACTTCTCAAGTTTTATACTTTAATGTTTGGTTAGAGATGAAGGCAGCCTTCCTCCTAAGTAGCAGAATCTATGTATATCCTCATGCGTTAAACTAAGCACCCAAAATTTTTAGCAAGAAATGTGCTGGGAAAGATTGTGTACAGTTTAGATTCAATTATAATTGTGTGTTCTGCACTTGGGTTATATGTTGACTTTTCTGGGTATTTTTTTTGGATTTGTAGCATTGTTGTATTTTTGTGGCTTTATATGGCACAAATCCTCTATCCATAAATTTTTCTTGGCATTTTGAGATTCTTTCTTGATTCAATAATTATGAATATTTTAAAATAAGAAATTTAAAATTTTTAGCAATATTATAAATTCAGAAAAATTACTTTAAAAAAAATAATCGATGATTTACAATCACTGTAGGTATAACTCACTTTCCACTAATTTCACATTTATACCACACATCCACTTTCGAAATAAAATATTTCATGGCAATAGATTTTTGCAAAGATTTTGGAACAGAAAGTATTTATATAATCCTATTGAATTTATTATATATGCATTGCTGTATTATTCTTGGCATGTACACAGCACATATAACAAGTCCATTTAGAAATGGATGACTTAATTTATAAAAAAACGTTTATGGAAACAATTCCAAAAAATAAAAAACATTACTAGGAAGGAAAACAAAATCTACTCGCATAAGGAAAACAAAATCCTCTTACTGAAATGCCTTGTTAATGTTCGTGTATATAATTAGTTCTTTCATTGAAGTTAGATGATACTCATGACCTGCAATTTATTTATTTTTGTATTAATTTAGTTTTTATATTTTTTATTTTTCACATTGTATTAATTGAATTCAATTGATGACATTTGTTAAGAAAAAATAGATAGAAATCAAGAGTGAAATAATTCATTTAAAAAGAAATGAACCATTTTAAATTAGACAGTTAAATTATTTTAAAGATAGCTAACAGACTATTTTGTGCCATAATTCCAGTTTAATCTTTAAAGTGACTTTTTTAGTAGGACTAAAGTTAAACAATATTAAAAAAATTTCCACTAAAATTGATGCAATTAAAATTACAAAAATCAAAGTGACATAAGGGTCAAACTACAAAAGGTACGTGCGTAATTTGCCATCGATCTAATATTATAAACACAATACCAGTTACATAAAACAATCCTTTCCTGACTATATATATTTTTTTGATCAATAAAGAAAAATTTCATTAAAACATGAAATTAAAGAAACAGAAAAATGACATGCATCAAGAGAGATTCAGAAAGTATAATTATCTATACTATTACTGCTCACATCTATGCAACCACTCCCTAAGTCTCACGATTTTTTTAAAGCAACAAAACTAAAAAGAAAACAGATACCAACAACTAAAAAAGAACTTAAGAAGACTTTAACTCCACAGGCCACTGCCCCTTCTACAGAAATAACCAAATCCACTCAACCTCTTTCCTGACTATATATATCAATTGGTGGGATCTATTATAAAAAATACAAGTCACTCAAATTGCTCCATTTATGTTTTATGTGATTGATTATGTCTCATTTACTTAATTTTATTTTTGTGTGTGTATGAATGATAGTATATAATTGACTCTTGATTTGCATACTATATGTATGTAGTTTTTGAGTATAACAAACAATTACAAAACGTGGTAAGAGTGACACACAAGAATTTCAATGCATGCAATGCAACAGCAACATACTTGAGGTTCAACAGTGGCAATGACTCATCCACTATCACCAGGGGTGGCCATTTCTACTTGATTTGCAGCCTCCCTGGCCACATCATTGTGGGGAGGGTAAAGAGCATCCAATGCAAAGCGGCCTTTTATTCCCTTGTTTTGTCATGGAATACCCCCCCCACAAGCACCCCCCGGCTCAGGAGGAACCAGAAAACGCCTTTCGTTTTCCCCCCCTCGTCGGCCCTTGCCGCATTCCTTAATAAGCCCTCGAGCCTCCTTTGCACCTCCTTCCTCATAGAAGCCGCAGGGTTGACCCCGAAGGTCGAAGTAGCCGCAGGGTTGACCTTGAAGGCCGAATTCTATGGTAGAGAAGGCTGTAATAATAACTGGGCCATGAGAGACTTTATTAAGTATTGCAAAAGAAAGGGCTTGCTGATAGAGCTGGGCGGGGAGGCGATACTAGTTTTCAGGTCAGAAAGGCACCTGGCCCGTAAGCTGGCCCCCTTAAAAAATAGTTACTTAATAAGGATTTGTTACGCACGATATGCTGACGACTCACTACTGGGAATCGTGGGTGCGGTAGAGCTTCTCATAGAAATACAAAAACGTATCGCCCACTTCCTACAATCCAGCCTGAACGTTTGGGAAGCTCTGTAGGATCAATAACAATAATTGCACGGAGTACGGTAGAATTCCTCGGCACGATCATTCGGGAAGTCCCTCCGAGGACGACTCCCATACAATTCTTGCGAGAGTTGGAGAAGCGTCTACGGGTAAAGCACCGTATCCATATAACTACTTGCCACCTACGCTCCACCATCTATTCCAAGTTTAGGAACCTAGGGAATAGTATCCCGATCAAACAGTTGACGAAGGGGATGAGCGGGACATGGAGTCTACTGGACGCGGTTCAACTAGCGGAGACTTGTGGAGACTCTTGGAACAACTGGAGTAAGAAATCCCCAAGTGAGTGTATTATGGGGGACCGTCAAGCACATCCAGCAGGGATTAAGGGGGATCTCGTTGTTGCATAGCTCAGGTCGGAGCAAGGTGCCATCAGACGTTCAACGGGCAGTCTCACGATCTGGTACTCATGCTCGAAAGTTATCATTGTATATTCCCTCGGGTCGAAAGACGGCGGGGAAGGAGGGGGACACTGGGTGAGATCTATCAGCAGCGAATTCCCCATACAAATAGAGGCGCCTATCAAAAAGATACTCCAAAGGCTTCAAGATCGAGGTATCATTAGTCGAAGAAGACCCTGGCCAATCCACGTGGCCTGCTTGACGAACGTTAGCGACGGAGACATCGTAAATTGGTCCGCGAGCATTGTAATAAGTCCTCTATCCTACTACAGGTGCCGCAACAACCTTTACCAAGTGCGAACGATTGTCGACCACCAGATTCGCTGGTCTGCAATATTCACCCCGGACCATAAGCACAAATCCTCGCGCGCGGAATATAATCCCAAAGTACTCTAAAGGCTTAAATATAGTAAATCAAGAAGGTGGTAAGACCCTTGCAGAGTTCCCCAACAGCATAGAGCTTGGGAAGCTCGGACCCAATCAAGATCCAAACAACAAGAAGCACTCAACTACTAGTCTAGTCTAGTAGTTGTTTTTTTTCTATTAGTTGCAATACGAACAAGCTTTTACTTATGAGATTAGTTGAGTAGGCTTGCGTTAGTTGTCTGCTATAAGATAGCTAGTTTTGGGGCTTTTGACATAAAAAAGCCTATCCGACTTGGCTTCGCTATCGTTCATGACTTGTATTGTAGTCGGCCCGAAATGCCTCTGTAGTCTTTATAATGCTATTTCCTTCTTCTTTCATTCATTTTCTTTTAGTTGCGGTAGCTTCTGCACCAGCAAGATATGGTGAAGCCAAAGCAATACTAAATGAGAAAAGCCCTTTCTATCTTATTAGTGAAGCCTAAATGTCCTTTTTGAAAACTAAAGTGCTAACGAGCAAGAAAGGGAGGACATGTTGGTTTGAGGATCCATTGGTCAAAGGAAAGAGGGATCCTTATTCCGAGATGAAGTCGTATGACGCGAAAGTGTCATGTATGGTTCCTTTGAGAAGGGTGTGATACCACCACCTATCAGGCCCGACAAGCGGTCCACGGAGCTGCATCCTTACTCACCTGGTCCATGCACATCACTCTCTCTAGGAGGTTGGCCGTCTATCCTAGATCTTCCTATTTTCAAAAAGATCCCGTGCTTGATCCGGTTTAGTATTAAGGTGATTCTTTTTCTATTTCTATATATATGGGTTCGTGCAACATTTCCACGATATCGTTATGATCAATTAATGGGACTTCGCCGGAAAGTGTTCTTGCCTCTATCATTAGCTCGGGTAGTCACCATTTCTGGTGTTTTAGTCACCTTTCAATGGCTCCCTTAATTATATGCGATGAATTGCCCTATTGAGTAATGGGAAGCAGGCTACTCCTCGAAAATGCCTTGCGCGTAGGTTCGTTTGTTGTTGGAGCTAAAAATCTTCCTTGCTTGTTCCTAGGTCTTTTATTTCATTTTTTTTATCGCCATCTTATTTCATTCACTGATTTCTGTAATTAATTTCTCTTTTATGAATAGTTGGTTGTGTTGGATGATTGATGGGTAGTGTTAGATTTAGGCTCTTATATTAAAAATGTAAAAAAAAGGGGGGGTGATGTAAGCTTCATTTACTGTTTTTCGGCTTGAAACGAGATTAAAAAAGGGTTGCATTATTCTTTATCCGTTTAGGTTTCCTTCATTTATTGTTCCATTCATCTATGCTGTGTGATTTCTAGCTTCCGTTAAATTATAACATTATTTTGCTTCCTTTCTATTGAAAAAAAGTCAGCTTTCTTCGTATGATAAGGCCTTTAAGTGATAGGGGGCTGACTCTGAGACGTAGTAATAGGAGGCCAAACGAAAGAGGGGCTTCTAAATACGTTGAGGTCTCTCGAAAGGATAAAAAGAAATGTCAATTGACAGACAATAGAAAAAATCGATATATTAATTGGAAATGGCAGGAGGGGCATTGGTAACCTCTTTTGCTAAGGAGCGCCTTTCACTCTCGGACTGGTTGGTAATGGTAAGACCAAGTAGGAGGATCTGTTACATCGCATTGAACACCTCGGGGCACTTTTCCGTGACACTGAGAATTAGCTAATGTAACTG